TCGTGCACGGCCGGTAGTCATCAGAGCCGATTATTTTGGGCGTAGCGCATAATATGAGAGTGTTATTATGGAGTTACATGGGCGATATACGGAAGACGCCGGTCGTCAACCCACATTAATAATGAATCACGCTATCAGATATCCGCTCGGAAGGGAGGTAACGTGGTCAGACACAGGGCACACGACCGCATGGGGCGTCAGGCCATAGTAATCCAAGATAAACTACGGGAAGCTTCGTGAGCTAGTAGTAGTAGTCTTGACACGACCCAAGCCCGCGGGTCAGTGACAAGTCGATCTGGGCCTCCGGAGGGAGGATTCTGCCGTTGGCGAGACCGAGAGCAGTGCCCAATTCTAGCCCTGACGGCTTCAGTGTCGGCAATGAGTTTGCGACGATAATAATCATGTTTCTATGGGCTATTTACTGAAAAAAGGTACCGGATCGGCTCAACATGGCGCCCGTCTATGAATCATCCGTCCCAACAATTGCGGGCTCAACACCGCCGCGCGTTAAGACCCGGAGTGTGCAGAAGTTGAGCAGGGAAATAGCCGCCTTGAACCTGGCGGCTGGGGAGAGTCGATCCGTGGGATGTTAAGCGGCCCTTGATCAATCAGGCCACCACGTTCCAAGGGAGCTTTCATCCAGATAATCTCCACAGCCGCGGAAAACCAGCGAACGCAGCTGTTGAATCGGCGATCCAGAGTCAAAGCATGCTCTGGCTGTGGCTGAGTCGCGGGCCAGCAACAGTGATTGGCAGAACAACCGGGACGACGGCCCTCGGAAGAAGCGAAAGAGCGCGACGATCGACGATCGCTGGCGAGCTTCGATTGTGTCAGCTAGTTAGTTAGTTAAGCGACTGGTCACTAGCCACATCGCCAGATGCACGGTAATTTGGTTACAGTGGCGGTGCCCATTGATCTCGGGACTCCCGACGCCAAGGGGCTCGGTTGGGTAACTTATCCTGTATCACGCTGGTAATGATTGTGACGTGTCAAGCCACAGAGCAGCACTTGAACAGGCCGCGGCAGATTTGGGCATTCGAGAGCTGGCAGCTTGGCCCTGACGGAATGAAGATCACCTCGTGCGGAATCGTGGTTGACTTTAGTCCCTTGCGTTGGTGGCATGACTCGAGACCCATGGGTTGAGTGTTGTCTGGGGTAAAGAAAGTGTGTGATTGGGGGTCATGGGATCTCGGATCAAGCTCTGGCTTTCAGCCTTTTGCTGTTCGAGCCGCTTCGGCGCCAGCTGTCCGGAACGATACCGAAAGCGTACGGAGTTGAACCGATTGTGCACTACATAGATGGACGGGTAACATAACGAAAGCGGAACATGTTTGGACTGACTGCGATCAGTGAAGCCCTACCGCTTAATGTTTCCTGCTCTTGGGATGGCTGCAGGGAAAAAAAAAGCCACCCATGCATGGTGATCGGGCACAACTCCGTGGGAGTCGAATCACTGGGCTTCTCTATTGATAGATCGGCCCCGTTCGTAGGGCAGGGGCCTGGGCCATTCTGCACTGCCCGTGGAAAAATACCGGTCACCTGCCCGTGGAAGTACCTGCAGCGACTGGCGCTGGCAGTAGCCGGCTGGGCGGCCGGACGTGGCCGTCAGCGAGCGCAGTGCTTGGGGACACGCAGTACATGCCAAGCGCCACGGGCGTAAGTTACGTCATTGCAGGTGTTTCGCCGAGGATGAAGCGATGGAAACTTCGATCCCTGAGCCATAACATGAAGCGAGAATGGGGTGACTGCAAGGTTCCTTTCAACCGGCCTTGCATGGTTTCCGCGCTGGGTCCATGCTGATCCTGGAGCTTTTGGTGGGAAAGACCTGATCAGGCATTGTAATATCTGATAACGGACGGTGCAGACATGACGTACAGCAGAGTCATCTCTCGATGGACAAATCGACGATAAAGTAAGCGTCGGGGTTAAATCGGCCACATTGCGCGATGTGCAAGCATCCCATTTGCTTTTTCCCTGCGCCAATACAAGCGCATACCGCCAAGCTTACGCCGGGATCTCTGTAGCGTCAAGACAAAATTCTGTTTAGCATCAAGCCACACAGCAAGGGCCTGCATGAGTGATGCGTCTTCTCGGACTTTTGGGCCTGGTCAGAAGCAGATTAAATATATATACACATCCGATATACGCGATCTGGGACCACGGGGGGATCAGCAAGACAGAACACGATCAACCAGCATCATCCGACTTCCCGGTTGACAAAGGACCAGGACGAAGCACCGCACAGAAACCACCGGCCAAGCGAAACCGGGAACACGCTTTAAATTCCTGCTTTGGCCTTTGTCGACTACTTTTAAGCCGCTCGCAACTCGCTTGTTCTCGCTTTTCGGTTTGAATTTTCCTGCAGCAGCGAGGCAACTCTATATAGACGCAATCCCCCGTCCGGCCACATGCACTGACGTTTGTTACCTTGGTTGAGCTGCACCCAACGCTACGAATTCGCCACCCACTACACTCGGCCCCGTCTGCAAACTACATATATAGTTACCCGCCGCGATTTGCCTCCTGGCGCCCATCATGCTCACCCACAACCACTATTCACATCCTCTCTCTTCGTCGTCGTCGCCCTATCCTCCATCCCAGCCCTTCCGCCACCGCAACCTTTGCGCGTCAGACTCCATTGTGGCTGATTCACCTCAGCAGCACTCGTTTGCTCCCTACCACCACCACAGCTCCGACCTGTCGCCCGCCACGCAGCACGCCCTGTACTCGCCCTCCTCCTCGTCGCAGCCCTTCTCTGCAGCCCCTCTCACTCCTGCGCTGTCGCAGCACTCGCAGCTGCGATACCTTTCGACGCCACCGCCCTCCTCGGTCGCTGCTTCTCCAACCTACTCCTCGCCGGCCTTCTCCACGCAGAACTCGCCGTCCACGGACTTTGACTCGTCCTTTTGGCCCGATTCTGCCTGCTTTTCTATGCAAGACAGCAACTACTCGTCTGCGGGAGTGTCGCACACGCCACCGGCCAAGCTCTTTCAGCCAGCCCTCTTTGGGGACGAGGGCTTCGATCACCAGGACATCGCGGATGCGTCCATGCTCTTGCAGAACGGACTGCCTCTGGACACAAACGAGTTCAATAACCTGCTGAGTCCTGCGAAACTGAGCCCAAACACCCAACGCCTCCAGCCGCAGTTTTACGCCGGCATCAACCATAAGAGGGCCTCCTCCGGATCGTCGATCGTGTCGCTGCCATCAACCTCTGCCGTGCCTGCCCTGGAGTCGTCATTCTCGTCAGTCTCGTCCCCCGCGAACACAACCTACCAAGGCGGCTACTCAATATCGAGTCCTTCGAGGCCTCTGCCCACGCCGCAGCGCACTCCTGTCCAGAACTCCTTCCTTGCGCCTCCGTCACAGTACGACGCCCGTGCCGGAAATGTCAATGCCACGGAGGCTGATATGGCAATGAGAAGAGCGCTCCTTGAACAGCAAGGGAATGCACAACAAGAGCAGCAGCAGCAGTTCTATAGACCACAGCCGCAGCAACAAGCCGACGACGAGATCGCCTATCCATACTCTTTAGCTCAATCAGCGTCAACCGTGAGCCAGAATTCTCCGGCGACCCCACAAACGAGCTATCAAGACGACTTTGACGAAAGCTCCAAGGCGCTATCACATGGTGAGACCTCTGCAACCGAGATCGATCGCTGGATACATGAATGCTTACACGCTGATGTTTTTGCAGACCTTGGACCCCAATTAAATAACCAGGTTGGCATGTCAAACTTGGATCGGACCCTGACGGACGCCCTGCAAGACGAGCTCTATAATCCAGCCATGACAACAGCGCCCCAGGAGAGAAGACCACCGCAAGCGCGGGTCTCCAAGCCCTACTCTCCATATCTCAATGTCATGGCAGATCGTCTTCATGCTGCCACCCAAAGCCATATGTCCGCACGCTCGCAGTCACCAACCTCGATCGCTCGACAGCGCTCTCCTTTCCGTCACGGCTCGCCTTATGCTCAGATTCCTACTGCTTACTCCTCAGCGCATCTACAGCAGCCACCTCCGTCTACTGGTTTGAGAGGGATGGAACTGATGGGTGCTGACTCGGAGGAACAGGAGGAGACCAAGACGATATCGCCCAAGGACGCCTTGCTGGACTACCACGAGTCGGACGAGAGCAATATCCCGCTGTTCCCATCGCAACCTGACCCCCAGTATAACCTCCCTCCTACCTCTTCTACGTTTCAAATTCCGGCCTTCCCTCCGCTCAGCCAATTTCCAAATCAATTTGGTCAAAACGGGAGTCAAAACGGGTCTCAATTCTACCTGCCGCAGCCACAACAACATCCGCAAATGCCACAGGTACCCCAACAAGGAGTCGTACAAGCCCCTCGGCCTCATCAGCCAGCGGATCGCACCCTGGCTCACCATACGCCCGATTTCCCGATCCCGATGCCCTCCATGGAGTCTACGAATAGCGAGCGGAATTCTGGAGTTGCACCGACTCCGACACATCAGCAGCCATCGTCGCCAATCAAACGGCCTTTGGATACGTCTTCTGATACGGGGACCTATAGCTGTACCTATCACGGATGCACCCAGCGCTTCGAGACTCCGGCGAGGCTCCAGAAGCACAAACGGGAAGCTCATCGCCAGACGACTCCCGGCAGCCATGGACTGTCGCGGGACAACCCGTCTTTTGCGATGCGCAATTCCCAGGCTGGCCCTCACAAATGCGAGCGGATCAACCCATCCACAGGAAAGCCATGCAATTCCATATTTTCACGACCCTACGATCTTACTCGTCATGAAGATACGATTCACAATGCGCGGAAACAAAAGGTACGATGTCAACTGTGCACCGAGGATAAGACCTTTTCACGCAACGACGCTCTTACGCGACATATGCGGGTGGTGCATCCTGACGTCAACTGGCCGGGCAAACAGAGACGGAGAGGCAGGGAGTGACCTGGTTTTGAAAAGGACCAGAACATGATGTTCTCCCCTCTTGTCTCATCATGACGCCGAAGGGACCAAGAAATGACATGTCGCCAAGGCGACTTGTGTCAGAGCCAGCGTTACGCCAAAGTGATGATCGGCCTTTCTTGTTTCTTTTGCTGCCGGGAATCTGTCCCTTCCCGGTGATGTCATGGCAGCCGCCAAGCGCTGGCTGAGTAACTGATGACTTGCCTTTTGATCAACGCTTTCTCATGAATCTCTCTCACGATATGATGCAAGGCTTTTTTTTTCGATAAATGCTACGGAGTACATTCTAATGACTATCATTACCCGCTTCCCCTGTGCTTGATATTGCTTGAATCCAAACTTTTTCCTGATTTAGCGACTCAGTAACCGGCGTTCTCGTGGGCGACCAAAAGAACAGCTCAACTTGTATTACTCTGTTTTTGATGTCTTTTTTCCTTTCTTTTCTGGGATTTAATGCCATGCTATGTCATACAAGGGCCCGCATCAATGTGCAACTTGATGATCGTTTGTATCATCCTTCTGTATATTCGCGGGGTTTTTAACATCTTTCGGCTCTATTCTTCCCTGGACTCCCAGTCCTGGTGATCTTTCCTACTCTTTATACTCTTATAATCACTTATTTCTGGCATGCCTTGTATACTACGATATACGGGCCCCCTCCCAAAAAAAAAAAACGAAACATGGCATTTTTCTTTTGGGCATTCCAGGGTGTATATTGCAATCTTTTTATCATGTGGCATAACCGGATACGGGAAGATTGGTTACATTCATATTCGTATTTTGGGGTTTCTTTTTTCTGATTCCGTTTTAGAGATTGTGTTTGAGTATCCCGAATTGGGGATACTATGGCTGTGAATCTTTCTGGAGCAGATTGCCCGTGTTGGCGATTGTGTATATGCTTTTTTTTTATTTTGTATATTTGTATCCTAACTGTACAATATGGAATGGGAAATATGGCATTTAACGAATTTGGAGATTTATGTAAAATTGACTTGGGTGTTGTAGAGAAGAGGCGATCTATGTTCGACGTGATATTTTGAACGGTGTAAAAATGAGTGGTATATCGGTATTCAACTTCTAGCAGAGCCTCAAAAGAAAGCATAAGTACTTGAAAGAAACAACTGCACTGATATATCCCAGTTATATATATCCAATCCACAGCGCCAGCAAGCAGAACATCAAGCACACGCGCCCTTAATACGGATAACTCCGAACCTCCTCCTCCTTCTCCAGCTCCAACCCCGCCGCCAGCTGCTCCTCATGCCTCTGATCCAAATACTCCAACAACACCTCCCCATACCTCTCCCGCCCCTTGTACCGCGACACATCATCGCCCCAGCTCCTGATAGCCGACGCCAGGCGCCCGGGGACATACGGCTCCTTGACGATCTCGGCAATGGGCTCAAAGTACGTGCGGATAGTAAACACCACGGCGCCCGAGCGCGGCAGGCGGCGTAGCGACTGGCGCTCGGACCGGAAGTAGTGGTGCTCGATCGCCTTGTTTTTCTCCGCCGTGCTCCAGCTCACTGACGTGCTGTCCTCGGGGCCGATGCTGTAGGACCAGGCCAGGTCCTCGTCGACCTGGATGAAGTAGTTGTTCCGCAGGACCGGGTCGGATGGCTTTAGGCGGCGGAAGAAGTTCATCATGCCCTTTTCTAGTTTGGTTTCGTAGCCGGGGACTGAGCCGGAGGTGTGGATTTCGGAGAGGGGCATGCCGAATTTATCTTCGAGGCGCCAGAAGCCGGCGAGCAGGATGGCACCGGCGAGGAGGTAGTATTGGCCGTCGGGCTTTTCGAACATGAGCGCCATGTCGTCCTGGATGAGGCGGGCGCAGGTGGTCATCGGGTTTTCGGCAAAGGGGCGCTGAGTGATGTTGAAGGATTCGCCGGTGAGGAGGTTGTCGATGCCGACGGGGGTTTTGCGGAAGAGGGAAGGGTAGCGGACGGGGAGGTAGGAGGAGCTACAGTTGGTTTCCGGTTAACTTGCGTGATGTTGATCTGATAGGGCATGGAGAATGGACGTACAGTTCCTCGAGGAGTTCGATGACTCCGTCCATGGCCTCCGGAGCGACCATGACGCATTTCTTCTCCCTCTCTTTGATGCGACGCGCTTTATCGGCGTGGTATTTGAGGTAATGATTGTCAAGTTCTGGATGGGTTGTCAGTTTCGCGGTTCGATTGAAGGACAGCTGGTCAGACATACCGATCCATTCATCCCACTTCATCGACCTCAAGCCCATAGTGATGAAATATTTTCTTCCGCCCATCAGCCCATTCTGTTCAAAAGTTTTAGTCGTAGAGATCGAAGCACAACTTACGGGCCGTATCGAAAAGGCCGATATGGCTTTGGTTTCGACGTGTGAACATCCCAATCAGGGTAAGGCACGGGGTCGGGCCGCTTAAAGTCTTGCGGTATCCATTCTAATGCAAAGAGGAACCAGTGTCAACGAGGGAAATCGCATAAGCTGGGGGCGAGCAAAGGGGGTCCTTACCTCCTGGCTTTCTGTCGGGATGTTTGGCCGCTTGGCTATTGCGTTGTTCTAAATCCGGAGTGCCAGGTCGTTTGGAAGCGCGTGAGCCAAATCTTCTTAGAAGAGCGTTGACGGCCCATGAAGAAGCAATCGCGAAAAGAAGAATACCAGCCAATTCTCTAACATGGAATTGGTTGATGAGATGCAACAAGGGAGCTTCCATGATGGTCTGGTATCACAACAATATTGAGTGTCATTAATCAAAACGTGTACTTCTGGTCCAGCCAGGGGGCAAGCAGTATTAATACATATACGGACGAGCAGCAATTGACAAGAGATCGACTGCTAAAGAGTGCGGCAGCGCGTGGCCTTCACAATGTATATCAGCCTTCTCCGCTGGCTTGACCGGCATCGTCCGTTTGGGGCCTGGCAATCAGCGGCGCATCAAGAAGAGGGGAGTCCTGGGACCATACGCCGCCAACTTTTGCCTGGCCCACACATCGGTTCTACTTCCCCAAGCGGTTTGGTTGTGCAGCCGA